TGTACATCCTGTCAACAGATAGCTCTACTTTGAAACTATTTTCTAAAAACTTTATCAAAATAATTTAATCTTTTTGATTCCTTTCCTTAAAACTTATGTTTATTGTTTCTGTTATTGGATCAAATCTTCAATCTTTTCCAGTGTTGAGAATGTAATTATAATAATAACTACTTTCCTGTTATTTCTAAGTTTATCTTTGGGTCAATTTTCAAATATTAAATGTTTACTAACAGATATATGAATAGTATTTATTCAGCCACTGATTGTGCCAGCTCTCCTACTTGAAATAATGAGAGACGTCTGTAATTTCCATCACAGGTACACTTTAACTACGAGAGACAAAATGAAAGAAAAAAATAAATAACATTGTAGGATTTTTAAAGAATTTATTAGTAAATTATGGTGGAAAATAAGTGTTTGATCAATAACTAAAGTTCAACTTAATACTTTGTAACATAACCTTTGTTGGCAATGACAGAGGTCAAACTTTCCCTGTAAGTCTTTACCAGGAGTGTTCTCACTGTAACTGGTATTTTGGCCCATTCCTCCATGTACTCCTCTAGTCCAGTGATGTTTTGGGGCTGTTGCTGGGCAAAACAGACACTCATTGAGGACCCTGTTCCTGCTGCAGATATGGTCCACGTTGTGCCAATCAGTATGGTTCTACCTGGCGGTTGCTTAGCCTTTCCTCCCACCACGCCTGGCTGTTATGGCCTGTTTCTTCCTCTCCTGTAGTGAGTTCTTCAGCCTTTAAGTGTTCTGCCTGCTTCCTTTGGAAGGTCTGTGAAACAGCTGCTAGGCTGCTTCCAGGCACACCCACAGCTCCACAGGTGCCCATCATCAGGTAATTTGTCCTCTCAGAGTCCACAGTGGATCAAAACAACACAACAATAAAAGCATGCAATAAAACAAGAGAAATCATGCACACATTTACATAATCACACTATCAAAATAAAACTAATTTCCACTGTGTGACACATCCATCTGCTCTCTGGCAAACTTCAGGCGGGTCTGGACATGTACTGGCTAGAGCAGGGGGACACGTCCAGTACTGCAGGATGTGAGTCCCTCTCTGTGTTACTTATGGTAGCCTTTGTTACTTTGTTGCCAGCTCCCTGCAGGTCCTTCATCAGGTCCCTCTGTGTAGTTCTTGTATTGCTGCTCACCGTCATTTTGACCCCACAGGATGAGATCTGACGTGGAGCCTCAGGTCGAGGGAGATTATCACTGGTCCTGTATGTCTTCCATTTTCTTACAATTGTTCCCACAGTTGATTTTTTCACACCAAACTGCTTGCCTATTGTAGATTCATTCTTCCCACCCTGGTGCAGGTCTACAATTTTCTTCCTGGTGTTCTTCGACAACTCTTTGGTTTCGCCATGGTTGAATTTGTAATGTGTCTGCTTGAGGCGGTGGACAGGTGTCTTTTATACAGATAACGGGTTCAAATAGGTGCCAATAATACAGGTAACGAGTGAAAGACAGAAGATCTTCTTAAAGAAGAAGTTACAAGTGTGCGAGAGCCAGAAATCTTGCTGGTTTGTGGGTGACCAGATACTTATTTTCAACCATAATTTACAAACAAAGTCTTTAAAAATGTGATGACTTTTGACTTTTTTTTCTCGTTTTGTCTCTCATAGTTGAAGTGTACCTATGATGAAAATTACAGACCTATCTCATTATTGTAAGTAGAGAACTTGAACAATCAGTGGCTGACTAAATACTTTTTGTCCCTACTGTATACAACCAACTAAATATTTAAACTTTTTTATAATTTTTATGAATAACAAGAGTTATCCCTAACTAGTCTGAAAGTAAAAACAGTCCAAGATCAAAGCAAAAATCACCCGCACTGTCAGACGAATTGAAGAAGACAGAACAGATGCTGTGAGGAAGATGATGTCTATTATCTCTCTGAAATTGAGCTTAAAGCTGGAAAAACAGATGCCTTTGAAGGATCAGTTGTCTGACCCATTAACAAGCTGCTGGACGCCTTTTCTTGCACTGCTCAACTCCACCTTCTATCTCCACCAGAGGGCGCCATCATCCAGTAGGCGGAGCTCTCCTTGTGCTCTGTGTTCCAGCATTGTGTCAATAATAAGTGTTGCTGTGAAGAGAACAATAGTCAGACTGAATGTTGAACATCAGCTAGTTTCTCCTGCTGATTTAAACCTTGTTGGACAGATGGAACATTGGCTGTGGATTATTCTAGCTGCTCTTTTCTTTGGTAAGATAGAAAGCTCAACATGTTTCCTCTTCAAACACTTGAACACATTACTGATTCCAGCATTCCAAATCGCCTCTTAATATTGCATCGGATCGATCCAAATCTCTTTGAGTTGCTGTTAGACCGACGGACTGGACTGAAGACGGGTCTGTAGAAACCAGACCGAGCTGAAGGCCTCCACTCCACCGAACCAAAACAGTAACGTCCTCTTCCCCCTCCTTTCCATCTGATGATTAATAAGTGCTCTGCTTGGGAAAACTAGATAGAATAGATACTGTAGTCATTTGGTTGATTCAGTTGGATCCGACTGGAACCAGAACCCCTGGCCGTCGGCTAAGCTAACAGGTCTTTCAGTCTCATCATAGTTTAATGCATTCCTGAGTCATTATTCATTTTTCACCATAAACTGAATAAAACTTTACTGTTTTGACCACAGTTAACATTTCTAGGTCAGGGTTTTCCACATTTATCTGCTACTATTATAATGGACACTTTTAAAAGCATTAAGCCTTAAACTTCCAACATCCCTCAGACTTTGAACAGACGTTTAAACCCCTCTTCTCCTTTTATTTCTTTAATTTTGCTTATTTTCAGTAGTGTTCATTGTTTTGCTTGGTTATTAGATATAATACGGTGTGATTATTAGTTAATAAAGGTACTGTTGTATTTTAACCTGTGGTCTTTTGTGTTTGTTTTACACAGTGAACGATTTATCTCTCAGGCTGGATTCACTCTTCTTTCAGTAGCAACCGAATGAACAGAGACACATTTATATGGTTGGTGATTAATAATGTTGACAGCCATAGTCTAAATTACTAAATTGGTGAAAGACAACTAGATTTTTTACAGCCAGATTCAGGAGCTCAACCTTTCAGGTAAGAGGCTAAAACCCTGGTCAGTTAGTAAAATGTAGTTATACTCATTTAACTGATTATAAAAAACTAGTTTTTCCCTTGATTTGCATTATCCAAATAATTAAATATAACTTCCAGTTCTAGTTATTTAATATAATCTTCTGGTAAACTCACAACAACGGCTATGTTATATCATGCAATGAGCTAATTCATGTCCATTGTCGGGGATGCTGAGTGGCTCAGGAATCGTGCAGTCTGTTGAGCTGTCCATCCAGTTCCCAGATGTAGTTGATGCTGTGAATGAGATCATAATCTTCAGGTCATTTTCCTGTATTCAGTATAATAGAAGGATTTTATGCCATTGCAGAGGAGTCAGTAGCTGGATATCTGTGAAATGTCCTTTTCATCACTTTATGAAAGTTTTTTGCTTTATTTTTATCTTTTCCCAAGTCCTCTTCTCTCCAATGGGTGACATCTGGGGGATGAGATGTGTTAATATGCAGTAAAGTGATATAAGATGCATGGCTGTTTTAAATGTCACTAATACTGTATGTAACTTGCAGATTTACACAGTAAACAATCCTTTACCATGCTTTATGGTGTTTTTTGATTCCAGCATGTGTTTGAAATTTCATTCAGACTCGTTGTTTCCTCTTTGTATTTCTGAAAGGTGAGTTTCTGTTCCTTACAGGTGAAATATGGCGCTCTCCTTTCTGTGCTCAGGATTGTGATTGGTCTGCTGTCTTAAACCCGCCCCTTTATACATGCGCATTCACAAATTAATGATTAGTCAAAGCTGGGACGAGTTAGCTTGTTTACAGTAGCAGCCGTTCAAAATAGCCCTTCCCAGTTAAAAGCCGGTTGAATGGCAGCCAACTTCCAGCTACTGGAGTGACCTCCTCCTTCTCCTGAGCGTGAATATTATTTTACTCTGACTCCCCCCTTTACTGAATTACAGGATCTGACCTGGAGATGACGCTTCTCGTTAGATCTTAATGTCCACATATCACGACAGAAAGACTATTTCTAATTCCTTTTTCCTCTTTTAAAAGGAATTGTAGGGGACCAGCCAAGGGCCAGCAAAGGGCCCATCAAGGAAAGTGATGAAATTTTGAATGGCTACTATAACCAGCTTGGTGGTACCGCTGATCCTGTCATTGTTGCTGACTGGTCAAACTGGATTGGCTGGGAGTAATCCCATTAAATTGAACTTGCTTGATGGTATGGTTCTCTGTTCTAATAACATTAGTTTACAGGTGAGTTAAGTCAGGTGATCAGACCTTAGACCCCTGATGCTGACATCTGGTATAAAACATATTCCATATTTGGTCATGCTTTTACACAATGAGCAGCAACCGAGGTACTACAGTAACTCTATTAATATATTCTCACTAATAATAACCCCGAACAATAAATATGAGAAATTAGAATCACTGCAGGGGAAAATTGTCTTTCTTTAATTTGAAAATGTATCATGTTGTGGATTTTGCAATGATCCATAATTTAGAATTTATAACTGACCTTAGATCTAATAAACCTGATGGGTGAATTTGAATTTGAAATTTAAATTAAATACGTGACATTTGACATAAATCATAGTTTAAAACAACAGAAACAAAAATAGTGAAAAATCAAAAAGATTAAGGATAGTTTTAAATTAAATGAAAAAATAGAAATCGTCCAAGGGTAGAGCCCTGGAGAACTCCACGTGCCTCAAACAAGCATCACTCAGATCTACAGGGGCCCCGTAAAAATACAAAAACAAAAAACAAAATAAAAACTAAACCTTGTGGCCAAAATCAAAAGAAGCTGTGAGTCTGTTCAGCAGGAGGAAGAGGAGCTGAGAGCTTCAGGGAGGAGCTGAGCTGTTACTGAACTATAGAAGAGACACAAACTTCCACATTCAACACAGTTCAAACATTAACTCTGATCATCATGCTGTCTTTGCTCACATCTGGATTTACTCTGCTGGTTCTGCTTATAGGAACAGGTTAGTTGGAGTCTTTCACAGAACTATTTGATCCTTGTTGCTCTTCTCTTATGACTCTTTGTTTTTACCCTCAGGTGTAAACTGTCAACAGCTCACTGCAGCAAAGACTGAGGAGTTCGCTTTAGAGGGCGGCTCTGTTACTCTGTCCTGCACTTACAAGAAAGATTCAGCTCGTTTTTTGTTCTGGTATCGACAATATCCTGGAAAACCTCCAGAGTTCCTGAAGTCCCACTCACCTTCAGGTGGAGTACAACATCTGGACAGAATGAAATTTGAAGGAACCAAAGAAGAAATGAAGATGACCATCTCCTCTGCTGCAATGGCAGACTCTGCTGTTTACTACTGTGCTGTGGAGCCCACAGTGACAGGAAACACCAGAACTCTGTACAAGAACCTGCAATACTCCACAACATCCACTAGAGGGCATCACACACTGTTAACCCACTGGATGCTGATTCAGTGGACTGATGACAAAGACAACAGAGACAAGAAACAGTAAAGATCAGAGACAGAGCTGCTGTGGGAGCAGAAAACTCTCTGATTGGTTGGGTTTAGGCCACGCCCACTGAACTTTAGCTCAATCAATGCCATTATCTGTTCCTCCTTCTACTGCAGGAGGAGAACATTGTTCATCTGCTGTGTGGTTTGACTCCAAATACATGTTGCTTTGCCTCAGTTTTCTTTCTCTCACTTTCGATGTGAGTTGTAGAGCAGAGATTCTAGTTTTGGTTCCAGCTGCTCCATTAACCAAAGATACAGACTGTATTTTAAATATTTCTGCATCATTTGCTCTGATAACATAAAATAATCAGTTATTCATCATGTTGGAAACTGAACTGACAGAGTAACAAGGAAAACCTGTCTAATGAATTCTTTCTCTCCACTCTTTTCAGGACTAACAGCTGAAGAAGAAATCTATCCTGTGACCAGCGGGGGATTTACCATTAGGCAATGCTATGCAGCTGCCTAGGGCCTCAAGTTCCTGGGATCCAGTAATACTTTGTTTGTATGGTTAATACAACTGTTACTTATTTGTGCACATTAATTATGTTTATGATAAACCTGGAGTGTTTTTCCAGTTAAAAGGGAGGTTTTCCTCTCCACTGTCGCTACAAGCATGTTTAGTGTAAAGCAGGGGTTTTTAAAGTATGAAAGGGTGAGCCCCCCTCCAGGGAGCACTATGCCTGCTGCCCCCCCCCCTCTCCTGCTGAAAGTCCATCTTTGAGTGTCACAGGGAAGGAAAATGGGTTTCTCACCCACTGGTTTGCCATTGTCTCCTCTCCAAACTGCTCGCGCATCCCCTCCAAATGCTGTAAAAACTCCACCTTCAGCCCCGCTCTGGCCAAAACATCCTCTAAGGTGGGAAACATTTCCACTGATCCCCGCTCCACACGCGCACCCCACAGTTCCAACTTTGTCCTAAATACATATTTATTTTTTCCCTCACACTGCGCCTCCCCTAAAGTGCTCTGGCGCCCCCTAGGGGAGGCGCGCCTCACACTTTGAAAACCGCCGGTGTAAGGGATTGCTGAAGAGTTGATGCAATCAGCTGGTTTTCCTTAGATAGAAAACTTTGAATCAATCTGACTGGATGATCTGGTGAACTGTAAAGTGCCTTGACATGACATGTGTTATGAATTGGCGCTATATAAATAAACTGAATTGAATTGAATAAAAATCGTTTTGCTAAAATGCAATCAGAATGCTAGTAATATTAAGTGTGTCTCAGTCCATTTGCTGCACATGTTCAGAAAGGTCCAAACAGACAGCAGCAAACCATTTTAGAACAATGTAAAGAGCAGTGTTGCTAGCATAAACACGTACACACACACGGCTAACCCCACTGAAATATTAAGTGTGCACCCTCAATATGCCAGCAGGTAACCAGGAACAGCTTGTGTGTTTTAAGTTAATGGAGCTACTGGTCTCAGCGCGAGTGTATTGGTCCTCACAAGCACAGTATAACAGGAATGTGTGTGTGGCGCGCAAAGTTAGAGAGGTTGTTTTAAGTGACGAGGTGGATTCTTCACAGTCACAATAACCATGACATGAAATTTTCATATCCTACAACAGGGATGTTCTTCTGGCAAACGGGTAGATAAATAAGGATCTCACCGAATTTGGTGGAAGCTGCATCTCGCTCGTTACGTTCGCCATTGTCCCTCTAATTGTCTGCACCTGTGCATTGGGTGCAGAAAGCCTGTTAAAGCGCAGTATTTTCAGCGCCCCTAGACCATAAAGTTCTGAGACGCTGATTGGCCATTAAATGATTAAATTCACCTAGCAATAGTACATGATTGACAGATTCTCTGCACATGTGGGGCAGTCTGATCAGAGCCCCAAGACAGAGACGGTAGGAGTCTGTCTGTGGAAATCCACAAATGAATGACAGTAGATAGGGAAATGTAGTTTATATAATTGGTTTTGCTTATAGGTACACACTATAGAGAGTAAAACTGACAATTATGAGTTAATTACTAAAAATATATTTTACGTTTCTCTCTTCTTATCAGGGAGGGCGGTGCCCCAGCGCCCCCTATGGGCCGGCCGCTACTGGCAAACTCCTACATCCGACCCCACTGTCGTCCCAGAAGGACAACGTGTCTCACTCAGCTGCAGCTGTGAGACACGTTCCTCAGTTTATCCTCTGGAAAAGAGGCAAGGGACTTCTTGCTGAGTTTAATCTTGACAACAGATATGCTTCAGAAACAACCTCTTTAACAACTAAGCTGACCATCAGAGAGCTAACCCTGGCAGACACATGTAACCCCTGACTAACGTTAAGTAGATTATGGGAATGCAAACATCTGGACCAGTCAATAGGTTCGGCAGGAGTACAATGAAACTGAAGTGAGTGCAGAATGAAATAGCTGGAGACAGGAGATGCGCAACAATAATAATTGTTATTGGTAAGCAAAATAGAAAAATATAGAACATTTACAATTTCAATAACAATAAGCCGGCAACAGAAAACAAAACAAAACCCCAGTCCCTGAGCTCAGTGTTTGATTTTTTTTTTTTTAGTCAGTCAAGGCCTTTTATAGTTTAGTTCTTTTCCTCTCCGTCAGTGTGAGTTGTTACCACTTTGTTAACACGTGAGGATGAGGATCTTCAGAAGAGGGATCCTCAGATGAGAGTTCGGTTCAGTTCTGGGTACAGGCTCGCAATCCCCTTCCGGAGAACATCAGGTATACAGGAATCCGATTCGCAGCTTTCTTAACCATCAGAAAAAACCTAGCCAAGTTAAGGTTTCAGAACAAGCACGGCAAGGGACCTAGTCACACAGCCTCTCTAGCTCGTGTTCAAGAGTGCAAAAAGACCGCAACGTGTTCGTGAAAACAGGAAGTAAAGCGACGGAGTGAAAATGACATACGCTCCTTTCAAAATAAAAGCTTTTTTCAAATTAAAATTCTAAAATATTCTACAAATAGTAGGAAGAGAAAAGTCGTTTTCTCTAATTGGTTACACACAGCTCTCTACTACTGTGCTCTGCAAACACAGTGATACAAAGTGTAGAAGAGGCTGTACAAAAAGCTGAACACTGATATCTGACTCCTCTTCAAAGAGGAGGGAAGTGGTATTCAAAGCTCAGCTTCATATCAGATGGATTCTGCAAATTCCTGTTTGATCAGAGTCACTGTGGTTACAGCTGCTAATCAGACACTGTGGGAGGAGCCACAGGAGCAGAGTCTCAGCAGATCTACCACACTGACAGGAACAGGGAGAGGAAACGTAATAAACTCTCAGATCGAGACAAAGAATTATTTATTAGTTAAGAGGCAATAACCTCTGTATCAATATGAAGAACAGGAAGAAGATGGTGGTGGATTTAAGAAGGATGAGGATCCTCTTCATCCCCTGTACCTCAGAGGAGCAGCTGTGGAGGTGGTTCAGCTAAACAGTAGCTGGGTTTGCATCAGCATCTTTACACCCTCAGAGAGCTGGACTAGGGAGCTCAGTCCTGAGGATCTTTGCTGTGCAGTGGAGAACGTTCTCTGCAGCTGCATCAGCGTGTGGCGCTGCAGATCCACTGCTAATGAGAGGATGGCTCTGCCTGCTTAAAGCTGTACAGAGGACTGTAGGGAGCAGCCTGTCCTCCACCTCTGCACATCTAGAGGCAGGGGAGGGCGCTCCGCCTCATGAAGCTCTCCACACATCCTGCACACAGACTGTTCCAGCCTCTCTCCTCAGGTGGGAGGCTGAGGAGCATCCAGAGCAAGACCAAAAGACTTAGAAAACCTTTCTACTCTGCTGCTGTTTCACTGATGAACTCAAGCTGCAGTTGATTCATCTATTTCTCTTTCTTGTCTTTAATATTAAGGAGATAAACCTGGGACCTGAGTCCAAATTCAGTACCAAAAACATTCCAATGTGGGATGGTAAGACACGAAAGAATCCTGGAATAAAGACAGATAGAAAACCTGTAATATCTTTAGTCTGACTTATTTCTAACAGATTTCATGAAACATGGAAACTCTGCTGCAAGGTTGACAATGAAACTCTAAAGATGTTCTAAACATTCTGATGTTAGTCAGTTTAAGACTTTGTTTTTGTTTTTCTGTTCGCAGTAGATTTTCATGAGAAATGATAAAGTTTCATAATAAAAAAAGTAATTAATAATTCATTAAATGCTATTTATGTTCAACTCATAAACTAAAAGGTATTTTATTCTGGGGTGCCGTTTTTTGTAAAGTTAAGCCAAAAATTAGGAGAAATATCTATGGTTATTTTGTGTGTTTATAGAGAAAATAAGGGGGTTAGTTTTTCAGTCATTTATTCATTTATAAAAATCTTACTTTATATAATAAATATTTAGTTTGGAGCTAAGTATTTAGTTTCCAAATTAAATATTTCATTTGTTAAATAAATATTTAGCTCCAAACTAAATATTTAGTTTCTTGAATAAATTTCACTCCAGATTAAATATTTGTTTAACAAACTAAATATTTAACTAATATGCAAATTCACTTGCCGAAAAGCAGAAGTGAGCTACTAAAAAAAAAAAAAAGCCTGGGAATCTATCTACAACTCCTAGGGCATTTTTGTCACACTGACAGAAAATGACAAGTTAGAAAATGAAAAAAATGTCATTATTCCAAAATGAATGGTCCTCTTTGAAATAATAATTTTTGACCATATACATCTGTTTTAAGAAATGGGCAAATGTTGAACGTTGTGTTAACTTGTGCCACAGAACTACAGCCATGCACATAGGGCGTCACTGTGTTGCCATAGCAACGACTACTTTCCTTTCAACCAGGCTGGAGGGAAGAAGTAGTCCCATTTCCATTAATTACCCCCCACCTTCAATCAAGGTGCCTTCCACAGCAGCGAGTGAGACTTAATTAGTAGTGACACTCGATAGTTAAGGGTTAGTGCTTAGGGGGCGGTTTGGGATTCAGCTGATGACAAAGTGACTAAATAGAAACCAGTCTTTCATCTTGAGCTGTAGGAGATGTAAGATTTCCAGGCTTTAACTTTGGTAGTTCACTTCTGCTTTTTGGCAAGTGAATTTGCATAATCACTGAATATTTAGCTGGCACCAACTAGACAAATATTTAGCTAGCTTGGTGCTAGCTTAAGACTTAGTTTGTTAAATAAATATTTTATTTAAACTAAATATATATAATAGTAAAGAGTGGGTATCAGTAGAGAAGCTGCAGAGATGTGTGTTAACTTCCTGGTCTGCACCCTGGGTGGTCAGGGTTTTGGAGGACTAATAAATGTGGCCAGATTCCTAGAAAGAAGAGATGCACCATCCAAAGTGGGATGGATGCCGTCTCTCCGAATCAGACCAGGCTTTCCCCAAAAGGATTGCCAATTATTAATGTAGCCCACGTTGTTTTCAGGACACCACCTAGACAACCAGCGGTTGAATGACGACATGCGGCTAAACATGTCATCACTGGTCAGATCAGGGAGGGGACCAGAGAAAATTACGGAGTCACACATTGTTTTGGCAAACTTACA